GCGCGCCCGCAAGGTTTCCCTTGTCCCCCTTGTTCAGCGTCTCGCCTGCTCACTCTCTCTCTCTCTCGCTCGCTCTCTCAATGTCAGTGTCAAGGTCAGCGGGCCGACGCACCGGTCGGAGTGCTGCCGCCGCCGTCGCCGCCACCACCGCTGCACCGCATACAGAGCAGCGTTCCATGTCGCTGTGTGTATCCGGTACTGCTCGCTGATAGTCTGAGTACATATATGGCGAGAGACAGAGAGAGAAGATCGAATGGAAAGAGAGGAGTACAGCGTGCTGTATGAGTCTGTGATACGCCGACACCCCCACGCAGCACCCTTACGCCGCCGCGAGTCCTTCGACGTCCTGTTCCCGCCGCCGCTGTCGATACCTCCGAGTGCGTCGCGCCGAGCACGGTGCATTCCGAGGGGATATCCTGGCGATATCGTGAACGCGTCACGTTCGTGTGTCCTCGGCTTATTCTCCAGCGAGTCACGGTCCTTTTCTTCTCTCAGCTTCTACGTCCGTCTTTGTCCCTTCTCCCGGATTCCCTCTCGTGCGCGCGATACACACGAATCATCGGCGCGTGCATACACACGTATAGACGTGCTCTCTCCCGCCCTTCTGCGACTCTCTCCCTACATCGCGTCCTCGTCACTCCAACATCCAACGGCCGACCGCCCCGCGGTCGTCGCTCCCCCGCCTTCGCCGTGCGACCCTGTCTCTTCCTCTCTGCGTCAGCGTGGCCGTGCGCGCGCGATCGTCTCTCCTCGTTGCACCCTCCGACGCAGGCTGCAGCCGGCCACGTTGCATTCCGCGGGGAACCACCGCTCCGGTATCGTTTGTACCGTGCGCTCCGCTCCGCGTCCGCGTGTGTGTCACCGGCTGTCTTACTTCTTTCTGAACCGCTCCGTTCCCGCTGCCATCGTCTTAGCGTGCTCTTCTTCTCGCGTCTCTTTCTCTCTTCCTCCTTTCTACCCCTCTTCACCCAATTCTGCCTTCCTTTTCCCTCTTCCTTGTTCCCTCGTCGTCCGGCATCTCCCTCGCCGCCCCTCTCCCAACCCCCCGGCCGTCTCGCGTTTATCCCCTCTGCGCTGGCGGCTGCTTTTTTCGCCTCTTTGTCCTTGCATCCTCCCGCGCCGGGAATCGGCGGTGGCGACGGCGGCGGCCAGCTTCGCGGGCTCTTCGATTCTCTCGCCCCGTGAACCCGCGAGATTCCTTCGAGGCGTCGTAAAAAGCAAAAGCGAAAGCGCGTGACCTTACGTGCTGCACGCGCAGCGTGCGTGTGTCGGCGGCGCTTATTGATACATCGTGTATATCTGACCAACGTCCCGCCGGAGTGTGCTTCTTGACGTGTTGCCGTAGCTACCCCCTTGATATTGTCGGGCACCCCGTGCGAAGGTCTCGGTCTCGTCGAGAATGAGAACGAAACTCACGTCACCGTTCCACCGTGCGCGATCAGTGCTGTGACTTGAAAAAATCTGGATCAATCGGACTCACCGCAAAGCATCTTTTATCGTCGTCCTCCGATCGAAGATACCCCTTCAATTCCGAAGCCCAACGGCTCTCTTGCGTGCGTACGAGCCGTAGTGCGTGGTAAGCACGTCCGAGAAGTGTTGTCCGAGCGCCCGTGTCTTTTATGAGAACGATCGACTCGCACGACGACTTCTTTCTCTCGTCCCTCCTCTCGGAAGGTTCCCTGCTTTTCGGCCATTATTGTGCTGCGGGAAGCTCTCTTCGAGGAGTGCTGTGGTATCTGCTCATGTTTACTTCTCATAAAGCCGCGACCGTTGTTACGACCGGTATACGTATTGGTATGGTGACGATCACGTGATAATCGTCAAGATCAAGAAGAGAGATTTCAACGGTTATCCTACAAGTATCTGTTACGGATCTTGACGAGACGCGAATTATTGCAAGTTTCTGAGAGTGTCTCATGGGGCGTTTTCGTGCATCTATTTAAAGTCTGGTATATTTAAGATCTCTTTGATTGTACACCATATTCCTGTATTCTTTGTTCATTAAACACAAGCGTATTTGTTTTGTTAAATATATTTTTTTGTCACCAAGAAAGAAGAGTTGTTTCTTTTTTGCTTCAATAGTTCTGCGTCTAATATTCACAATATGTTGGATTGTCGGTTTGTTGATTTAGTGGTTTTCACTCAAATATAGAAATTATACTCGTTGTTCTTTTAAATTTCTTTTAATTGACGACCATACAGAAAGTAATTTTCCATGACGGCGGATACGATTGTGTGTGTGTGAAAGGAAGATTCATTAACAGTGGGAAAACTGATCTTGTTTAGGGTGTACATAGAAATCTCTTCCCTAATAGATATAATGAAGTGTCCTCATTGTTCTTTCCTTTGAGAGACCTTGATGAAGCAATAGTGTACGCTAGCGCCGGAAGAGAGGAGACGAAGGATGCAAGCAGCCGCACTTGCGCTTTTGTGGATCGTTACGAGAGGAGGAGAATGTCTCAATTAAAATGTATCGCTTTATTAATAGAACTATTCTTGCAGAGCGATCTATTCACGATATTCAATACATGTCTTACAAGATGTAAGATGATAACTATGATAACGAGAGATCACTGTTTAACGACCCTTTTTGAAAAGTAAAATTGGAGTTGATCGGATGTTTTAGTTGAAGTTCCTGAGAAACTTCTGTGAAAGTTCGAATCTTTGTTAAACCATCTTTGATACGCCATTCTCGCATCAGACAGGGTGATGTAAAAGGGTGGAATTAAGACCCATCGCAAGAACTTAGCTAAAAAATTTGTACTTATAATTATATTTTTATAGTAAATATACTTTAATAGTAAATAGGAGGAACTATATTTTTAATAGTAAATAGGAGGAACTATATTTTTATAGTAAATATATTTTAATAGTAAATAGGAGGGTCCGACGCATTTTTTTTTCGTCGACTTAAAATTATTGAAAAATTCTGAAAAAAATCATATAGCTTCTGTCGAATTTCAACTAATAAATTATAAAGTTATCTAAAAAATAAAATTGTACATGATTTTTTTATAATTTCTTGAATAAGAACCTACGAAAACAAGTTATTTTGCTTATTTTCTTTAAAAAATAATAACTTTGCTTATTTTCTTTAAAAAATTAAAGACATGGAGTTTTTTTATATTTAACATTAATAAAGAATTAATAAAGAAATAAAATTAATTAATAAAAAAAAATAGTTATGGTATCTTGGAAAAAGTCGAATTATTTTGACATGTAAGAATAGTATATTCTTGTGATATTTAAGAAAATAACATAAAAAAACATTTTTATGCATAAAGTAAGAAAAAAAGTAAGAAACACAAGAAAAAAGCACAAGAAATCTGAAAAGAAGTATATATCCACAAAAACTTTGTTAATTATTTCTGTGTGGTTGCTCAATTTTACGGTCTCAAACATAATAACTTGAAAAATTATTGAAATAACAATATATAAAGAAGATTAAATTTTCACACTTGCTTACGTAAAAAATTTACGTTAAGTAAATAAGTTGGATCACTCGTGTCGAGAAGCACTTGTTCCTGCTATTTAAACAGTAAATGACGAATTTTTGTCACTAGTAAGCCTCAAATATCCTTGCTAACTTTTTTGGAACACATATAAAGCCTTAAAAATTTCAGAATCAGGAGGAATAAAATGTTATTAAAAGTTCCCGAACGCGCGCGCACACGCGCGAATAACACATCCTATTCACCGGATGTCTTAGTGCTATTAAATACTAATATAACTTTAATATTAATGATTGTGGGAGGATAAAAATGTCCAGTATGTCAAAACGCACGTATCGAAATTTTCTCTTCGATTACCGTACGCGGAGAATCACAAAACCTTCCAATACTTAGACCGATTCTTGAGTCCTAATTTTAAATATATATTTTAATTAAAAACCTAAAAACCCCCATTAAACCGAAGACTCAAATAGATTCCTTTTTATATATATATGTTGCGAAAAAACTGTCTCCACCAGGACTCGAACCTGGAACCTCCCCACTTTCCGGGCGGAACGCTTTTCCATTCGGCCACCGAGGCTTCGACAGTAATCTCGCAACACAATGTTTATAAATTCTCTAAGATGTAAGGTGAGAGAGAACGAAAGAGTCGATCTCGTAAGAGATGTTATTGTACGAGAGAGAGATAGCATATTCTTCCTGCCGATGCTTTTAAGATAAACCGAAATAATAGAACACTCCTTGAATAGAGTTAACTAATAGTGAAATATTAATGGCACATAAGGAGCTAGCACGGATGTCTTAGTGCTATTAAATACTAATATAACTTTAATATTAATATGATTGTGGGAGGATAAAAATGTCCAGTATGTCAAACGCACGTATCGAAATTTTCTCTTCGATTACATCCTATTCACTTTAAGAGTTAATTTCTCGTTACGACGTAACGAGTATGTTTGAACAAAATTGCAAATATTTAGGAGATAAAATTTAGAGTTTCATTTTTTATGAGATAGAATATAATTTTTAATTATGTTTTTGCGCAAAGTTGATCGATATAACGTGACAACGTGTTAAAGGAATTATTATCGCGCAATAAGGCTCCTGAATACTAGTCGTAGTATTAGTCGTGATATGTTGTGATGTCAAAAACGAGAAATGATACACTAAAAATTCTTATGCGCTATTTTCAAATAACAATATTTTAATGAAAAAACAGAGATCGTTTGAACATACTTGCCCGGAAAACTATTTCTTCTCCTTGACAGTCAATAATCTTGAAATTAAAGTGAGATGAAACCTTCCTCTCTCTCTTTAAAGTACATTTTTTCATAATTTTGTTCTGTTAATTTACTGACGATTATTTATTGACTGTCAAGAGAAAAGGATAGCTTACGGAGTATTCTACAAATATGCTCAAGTGATCTAAAGTGTTTTTTTATGTAAATATTTTTTTATTAGAGTTTTGGACACGTGTTTTCTCGCTTCTGATGTCATCAATCAATCAAGAGTTCTACTGGAAGAGACTGTAAGTGATTCTGAATTTAGGGCACAGACAAAGACAAAATGTCAAACAACGGGCAACAACAGCAACGCTCGTCCTATGTGGAAGCTCACGCTGCGGCGCACGCAGCATTGCAGCAGCACATGGCCCAACAGGCCGCACAAGCGAGGTTAACTGGACCTGGACCGCCGACGGCCCCGCAACCTTCGAACCCTACGTTTACTTTGCCAGACGACGGACTTGGTTATGATGACGGAGTGCGAGTACTACGTTCCATCGGCACGTGGTGTGTAAAATACACAAAATGTTTAATTGTTACTATCGTGATAGCCGGGAAAGCAGTAATAGTTCGTCATCGTGTTCCGTACTGTGCTTCTTTGGTATTTCCTTCTGTAAGAATAATCTTTCGTAGCTGAAAACGGTTCTATCTTTCGAAAGCGTTCGCACAAATCAAAAAAAAAGAAAAAAATTCTACACTTATTCAAAATCACTTCCTGTAATGTTCTTAAGATGAACATCCGCTGTTTTTCAAAGTTATGCGATTGATCGTTTTTCGTTGGAAGATATATATTATATTTGTGCACTAATTGTCAAGCAGAGGATAGTCCATTAAACTATTATATCTTATATTTTAGGTCACCAGATTATACTGCCGCGATGCGTCCCGGTGGTGTGATGCCGACGTTTCCTAGCGCAACTGAGCCGCAGTTTGCAAGTAGAGCCCCAGTGGTAAATCAGCCCTTACGAACAACAAACAATGTACAGGTTCGGCCAGGTTCCGTTTCAAAAGCAACTAACACAGGCGAATCTACGACAAAAGCATTTGCTTGTACTGTGTGTGGAAAAGGACTCGCACGTAAAGATAAACTCGTCATACATATGCGTATACACACTGGGGAAAAACCATATACTTGTGAAGTGTGCGGTAAGTACGAAACTTGTCTAATGTTAAACGATACTCTAATAATCTCATATCATGGCAATCTTAGCAATAACGTTTAGTGTCCAAAGTGGATAGTAAAACAAACAACGTATCACGGACAATCGCTCCAAAACCAAACCAACCAATACAATGTTTGTTGCAGGAAAAGCATTTTCACGTCGAGATAAATTGGTCATTCACATGAACAAACTTAGACACAGACCCGGCGCTACACCTCTATCGACGCCTACTGCACCCAGCTCCAATCAACAGCATCAACAGCAGCAGCAACAACCACAGCAGCAGCAACAAGCGCCACCTCGTCAGGATACTATTCATAAACCGAAGGAAGAGCCAGTTAATTTGGCCTGTGATGTATGCGGGCGATCGCTTTCCAGCAGAGAAGAGTGGATGCAACATGCTCGGTTAGTGCCGCTTCATTTCCAACGCGAAGATATCAATGATTTTATTTAACGTTTGCAATACAAATGCATTAATGTTTTTTTTTTAACAATGCAATTCGATTGCAGATCACATCTAGATGTGTCCGCGCCACCACAGCACGCCGCTCATTATTTCACTGGATCTGCGCCGCCACCACAGCCCTATTCTTCTGAGAGGCACTTTTGTTTAGTGTGCCGTACCGACTTCACGGACAAGACCGAATTCATGTTCCACGTGCGCACGCACTTTGGAGTGTCGCAAGCAGCGCCACAACAGCAAGGTGGCGCGAACGGTAAACAAGGCAGCGATCCAGCGGGAGGCGATCTCATGTCCCGTGGACTCGTTAATCCCAATGGCATATGCAGCTAGAATTACTCCTCCTGCCATTACGTACCGTCGATCCGTGTCTTACCATAGTACAAGTTCTCTGCTCCATCTCGACCAGACCTTTCACATTAGGATGTCATGGGTTTTGTGATTGTAATGATATATACTGATTTGTCGATAACAGATACACAGTAGTACGATCAGCAACGCGAAGATGAGTGAACCGACATGTTATTCGTTTACCCAAGTAACAATTTCTATATATAATATACAGTGTAACTATGCAACATTGATTCTTTTATATGATTCTTTTATGTTTGTAAGAGTATTTTATAAAATTTCTATTAGAAGCCTTTTATTAGTGAATTTGTAATAATAACTGTTGCATGAAATAACAACTTAGTTTTGTTATACAGCACTCGCTGTACAACAGCAATTTATTTAAACGTTTTAACAGTTGATATTCGTATCAAATTATTAATCGTTTTAATAGTTGATATTCGTATAAAATTATTAGTTTGTAAATTTGCACGAATGCAATCGTTTTCTGGAACCTTGATTCGAACTGTACAACAAAAATATTGTGTTATTCGAATTTTAACTAAACTTTTCATTTTAAATATATGATATAATACAGTTTGAATTAAACAATTATGTTACTTTTCAATGAAGTATGTTTTGATTATCTTACTTCATATAACTAATATTACAAAAATAGTAATTTATCCACATTATAACACACTGGACATATCATGGACGACATTTTATGAAGCTATTAATTTCGAGAATACTACTGTGTATCGTAAGGTGATGTAAAACCTACGTTATCAAGAAAACGAAATTTAAGTACTGACGCGATATGGTAATAGAGTGCACTATTGCGTCAGTATTTAAAAACAATTACTTAGTAGTAAACGTTCCTACATAGCTAGCTTCCCGTTATTTGTAGATACCAGTAGTATCTCTGACGTAAAAGTTTGTTCTCAATGCTATTATATTTTTTACATGCATATGTCTGTATGTTTGGTCAACGCATTGTAACGTTATTATTTAGAGAATTTATTATTTCGATGCTATCGTTTCTTGGAACAAACATGTATCGAAATTATATGAGAGAGATAACAAGATCGAATATTAAGATTGAGTAAATTAGAATTCCATGTGTTAATGTAATTCAAGTACGAGATAATGATACAGGTGATACAGTGAACATGAGCATTTCGATATTCGGTTTATATTAAAATCATTTTTAACCTGTAAAGAATGTGTTTATATATTTATCACATTAAGCATTTATAACTTCGCGTTTGATTCGTATTGACACATAATTTATGTTGTTTCATCTTTAGATTCATGTCAATTATTAATATGTACAATTAATTGATTAATCGATATGTATTAATTTGTTTTAAAACAAATTAATCATATTTTATATTAAGTTTGTTTAAATTCAGTTTATGTCAAATATTGACAATTCATCTGTATATGTTGAGACGCTTTAACGTCTCATACGGTTATTTGGTCAAAACTTTATTATTTTCCAAAGACAGTGGCCTATATTCTCGATCCTCTATTGTCTATAAAAAAGGTTTAAGGCTTTTAAAAAAGTCTTAAGAGTCACCTGATTGGTTGAGAAGCTATATTCAAGGCACTTTTGTCGATAAAAGAAGGTTCAGAATATGGGCCAGTGTGTTTTGAATGCATTGTCCGTTTGTATACCAAACTTAGATTGCCGCTATGGTATAGCATAAGTATTTGCGGAAAGTCATGCAATTCGTAAAAAACGAAGCTTGTGCTAAAAATAACCTAAGGAGGTTCTAGCGTTTAACTAAATAAAAGATAAATATCTATAATACATATATAGTACAAAAGTTAATTTTGTTTAATTTTGTTTAATACATTAATAATGGAAAACAAATTCGCATAATCTTTTCTATATTATTTTTTAGATTTTTATATTGTGCAAATATGTTTTAGAACCTCATAATACAACAAATTTATTTTAATTTGACATATATGAATACGATAGATTTATTCTAATTTGACATATTATAGAAATTTAACAAACTTTCTCAGTAATAAGATGAATATTTAAACATATTTTAGTGGCCATACAAATTATTGTTAAATTGAAGAAAAAATTCGATTTTTCTCGATGAACATATTCATGAAATTGACAACATATAAGGAAACATTCCAACATAACATATATGATAAGTTAGCGTTAGATTTGACATAACTTCAAATGTCATTTCTATATTTATTATTCATTTTAATATATCTTTGCATTTCTAATTCAAATTAAACTGATCATTTATCAAATAAACTAACGAATACATTTTATATCCATATGTTTTTTCTTACAATTGGTATTGACATCAATGAAAACACAATTTTTATCTTATCACTTAAAACTTGGTAACTTAAAAAAAAATGATAACAATATTATAACATTCACGAATGTTATCTCACTAATGTTGTTGCAAAATTATCTTAATTATTTTAAATAATTTTATTAATAAAATATTAGTTGATTTGGAAATAGCGTTAGAATCTCCTTAAAGCGGCAAATGCTTTAATTATGAGCGAAAAGGGAAAAATATTCGGAGCATTCTTTGAAGCTAGTATACCTCTTTCTTCAACGTCTTTTATACGATATCCGAAACAAAAATGACGTTCAGAACTATTGTATTATTAATCGGCTTTAGTGCGAATAGGAGATTGTTTATTGCTGTTTTTTTCTGATCTTGACGTGCTTATCTTTTATTGTTACTATTATCCTTGTTACCTGAAGTGTAATGAACTACATATATTTAGTCAGGAATCCACGTTTTTATCTAATTATTTCATGTACGAGAATGTGTTTTTCAAACGGTCATAATTGAATATGAATTACTTATGAGATTATGCATATGTAAACACTAATACTGTGTGATGAGACACGAAGAAAGCTCCCACTTTTTCGAACTTTGCTCCCATATATTTTATCTCAATTTTAGATAACGAGTTTCGCGATTGTGTATGAATGAGGAGACAATTTCATCGTTATATAAGGAACGTGAAAAAATATAGATATACATATATATTCACCATCGCAACAGGAACTTAGCGACAATAATCGTTCGAGTTTCGTTTCGGAAGCCGAATACGTGCGTCAGCGTATCGACATACATTCAGGCGTCTTTAAATGTGAATTTGCATTGTGAACAAATCTTCCAGAAGAAGAAAAAAGTCCGATGGGATCCGCTTGTTACGGCGCTTAAACTTTTTCTCGTCTACCTAGGAAGTAGTATCCTATAAGATTAATCAATAAAAAACGCGCTAAGGATGCGAGACTGCCGTGCCTCCTGCCCCACGTACAAAACCGCTTCCGGGTTGTTTTCCATTCAACGATCGCTTTTAGGACGACCGTGCCTGCGTGATGCGAATCAAAAGAGGGAAAAAAATAGAGAAAAAGAAAAAAGAAAGAAAAGTCGGAGCCTAATGCTGAGCGTATATTTTGTGTAACATTTACAACTACGTCATAGAAATAATCACCGCGACAATAGCGACTGTCTTTAGACTACCGTGCGCCTGACTAATTACGGGGACATTTCGAGTTTTTTACCTAAACTTACATCCCTTTAACGTAGTGAGATTAGTAGAATAGTCTCGTGCGCTTGGTGCCAGGCCGATTTTACTTTGCGACATTTGTATCGTTTGTCTGTATCGTGTGCGTGGTAGTTGGTGTGTGCATATTGATACAAAAGTGCAATCAAATTCGAATCAATGCCTTTGGAGTTAACCGATGCTCGCAGTTTAGGAGGATAGTCTACACTCACTTGCTAATCAATCATGATTAAGCCTATCGTTGGTAGAGTTTTGTGGAGAGCATTGGAGTGCGTCTCCGAGCTAGCGGGAGTGAGAGCCACGCTTGTCGTTCCGTGACGATGTGCGTTGGTTCGCGCTGTGCTCTCTCGACTTGGATTTGTTTTTCTCGAGGAAATTTTTGTACAGAAAGGGAAAAGAATAGAAAGAAAAAGAAAACGTCGCGCGTCCGAGTCAAACGCTGATTTTCGTGGCGGTGATGTGACGCGCTCTCGCGCGCTGAAGATTCGGAAGAATAGACGTATAGTGCCTTTTCTCTGGGACTTATCCACACCATCGTCATCGTTTGAATTCACGTGTAGGGAGGCACACCGGCATAAATAAAATATTGGAATAAGTTAGACGTATAGGTAAGACGGCGTACATTTGATTCTTTTCGTTCTTCCGTTACGAGGAGTGAATGTTTGATGCCACTGCCTCTATAGCAGCTGTTTTAGACTACTTTTATACTGTTGATGTCACGCGCAGCTAATCAGAGTCACAGTATATTACTGCCATAATTATGGAACAGAATGTATACTCAATATACCTTTATAAATAAAAGATGACCAAAATGAAAATATCGCAATTATTCCTGTATTAAATCGCTAAGTGTCATATTTTCAGTGGAGCATCTTAAGATAGCTACTTATAAAATTACTATTTATCAAACAAAATGATATGTTTCTATACATCTATTATATATAATTTAATATTATACGTAATTATATTTTACATATCAGTATTTTATTTGTACATATATTTCCAGAATTACTATAAATTACGAACTTTCCATCGCTGCATTTTAAAAATAAAATATTCGATAATTCTGAAATTTGTGTATTTCTGCATAATGTTTATATATTAGCTTTTAATATCATAGATGTTCATTAAAATTTCACATGTAGTTTAGAAGATATTAAAAATAGAAATACGTGTAAAGTATCCACGTTAGTTACGAATATCTGAGCTCTTGAATAGTCAATCTTTTTCTAATTGTTGGATAAACAAATAGTTGGATAATAGTTCACTAGTATATATGGTGCAAGATTCTTACAAAACTCGTTTCATGATGCAACTAAAGGCTGCTTTTGGTGCTTCGCTGCGGAACTGTGGATTGACTACGTCAGAAGCGAGAAAACACGTACGTAAAATTCAAATAAAAAGATATTTATGAAAGAACACTTTCATAAAAAGATCGCTTGAGTATAAAATCATAGAGTAAAAAATGCTCTGTGAAGCAGTGGCGTAGCCAGGGGGGAGGGGGGGGGGGCTGAAGGGACTGCAGCCCCCCTCCCTGAAATTAATTTTCTGGGTTACGCTAAGTGTGAGAAAAATTTTTTCGAATGACCTTTTTATGATCGTCAAAAAAAGTACAACCCCAACCGAAACTTTTCTGGCTACGCCACTGCTGTGAAATATCCTTTTCCTTTGACAGTCACAATAAATAACCGTGTAATTAACGTGACATGCAGTCTTGCTCGTGAACTTACCTTTTCTCATAATCCTTAACTTTTTTATGAACTCGTCACGTTAATTTTACGGTTATTTATTAATTTTTAAAGGAAAGGGATAGCATTTTAAATAAAGTAATTTAAAGTGTCCTTTTGTATGAGTATCTTTTTATTTGAAAATAGCAAGAACTTTCAGCGTGTCATTTCTCGTTTCTGACGTCACGAGCCGTGGTAAGCATCCAGGAGCCTTAAATACCTCGTGTTTATAGAGATACGACATGCGCATTTGCATAAGATTTATCGAATGCCGAAAACGAACGGACGGCAGCCGTTGCAACAGTAAAACACGATCTGATCGCCGATATCATAATGCGTTTTCTCGGGTGACAAGGGGCCGATGTGAAATATCACGGTATGCATTTCTTTCTGCCCACCTGAGGCTGCCGAGTTCCTGTTCGGACACAGGCGGTTCGCCTTGCCAGATCGCGCCGCGCCCGTATTACGGGTAACAATAATAATGGCTAGCCAACCGGCTCGACTTCGTTGCATTTTTATTTCCTCACCCTTGTCGACCCTCGCGCACCGTAGCGTGTAGCACTCGCATTATCACTCGCGACTCCGGATAATGAGATAATCGCTCCTTTGTCTCCTTTTTTTCTTCCGCTTTTGACTGGTAATCACCGCCTGTCACGAAATAAGCAATGAAAAAATGATATCTCGCAGAGAGAGAGAGAGAGGGATAGTTCTTCCAAAAAATGTGTCACGCCAACTTCCGAATTTATTTGGCTGTATATAAAAAAATGATACACTTAGAAAATACAACAAAATCGATTAGCGACTATTACGATGAGATCGCATTTGACTCTATACAGATGCCTCTTCAAATAGTAGATATGACAAATCTGTTCTCAATTATTATATCAGTGGATATTTCTATTAGAAATAACAGTATTTAATTTTTATAGTTTCCATTGTGTAACAATGTACCTTTTTCCGGCGTATATTGAATTATATTGACACTCAATAAGCTACAATTCTTTGTTGAAGTCCAACTGATCCCACCGTAGTACTTATGTTGAATAAATAAAACTAATTTAGTTATAGCGACTGAAAGTTAGATTAATATGTATGAGAGAATAAACATACGCTCCTCTGATCTCCGGTGTGTATTGCACTTCTTGTACAAATATATATTGGGCGTATTCCGCATCTCATTCGGTATCGTGGGATTCTCAATTGCAACACTATGGAGAACGCAAAGGTTACCGGATGAAAGTGAGCCGACCCCATGGAGCGCGTGATTGTGCTCGCATTAGCGAAGGAAATTGCTATGCGAGACACTTGGGCGTTGCACGAACCAGCGAGATGAAAGTCACTCGATTTCTAAGCTGCTTCGACATTTCATTTTTGCCGAAAAATAGATACATTATTCCAAACTTATTCCGTTGACGAGAAAATGTACATATCAACATATATTAAAAGTACACTCTAATTATTGAAATTTCGAAACTACGCACATTTTGATTATTCGAGAGTTTTAATGCACTGAGAGATAAAATAGTTAATGCCATTAACAATAATTATTATTTTTGGCGTTAACTTCTTGTTGTCCCAACAAAAAAATAGGTAACAATATATATATAAGATTATTACCACTAAAACACTATAGTAAAATTTACTACAAAAATCATTCTCCCAATTATAATTCTTTTACTGTATAACAAATATCAAACACTTGTATTTCTCAGTGCGCTCTCTCGTTATAGATACGTCGTTGCTGCTCATATTAGTTAACTCACGTGTCGCTTAGCTTTTGTTGAACGTGTAGGAGAAGCCGTCGGGGGTTCGATTGAAATTGAGCTTCCCCGGTGGATAAAAGTTGCGCGCTGTCGGTGTCGCTATCGCATTATACTGCGGCGCGGGGCGAGGTTGGGGTTGATAGTGGCCACTTGAAGTCGCATGCGAAGGTATAGCTTGCAATTCCGGGGGATGATGGTAACGAGGCTGCGGCTGTGGATGTGGCTGCGGCTGAGGCTGCGGCTGCGGTTGCGGTCGATACTGGTACTGCGGATGAAGCTGCGGCTGGTAAACGGCCGGCTGCGGTTCGTAATCTGGTTGATATCGTCGCGGATACTGCTGAGGGGTGGGCGCGTAGCTCGGAGGTTGATAATCCGGCGGATTGTACTGCGGCAGCGGCACGTACTCCGGTTGGGGTGGCACCTGCGGGGGTGCGCTAGGAATGTGGTCCCCGGTCGCCTACGAAACGTGTTCCAGGATACGTTATTTTAATCTCCATTAATACGGCAAGTTCACTTTTATATGCGCATTGAGAGAAAATATATTTCAGAAATAGTCAATGTTTATTCGGTGGGTATTAATAACACACATACATACATTAAATATTTTATATTATTAGTTTAAGTAAATACCTCAGCAAACACCAAACAGCAGCTACATAACTGTTAATTATAATTTTCCACTCAACGATATAACTATTATGTAACAGTTACATTATTAAGTAGGAAATTATAAATAACAACTACGTAATTGTCACTTGGTGTTTGCTGGGATATTTATTTAAATTAATAATATAAAACATTTTACAAATAAGAAAATTTACATTTTCTTAAAAACTTCAAATTTCTGTAAAAGCACTTGTTTATTCTATTTAAATGAAAAAAAGTTTAGATTTAGGCAAATACGCGTTATTAATACCCCTAAAAATATTTACCATTTTTAGATAGTTTTTTAATCAGTATAGAGTATAATTAAAAGTTAATTAAAATAATTAGATCTGAGTCGAATAAAAATTCAAATACGCTTCCTAGATAATAGGACGTTTTGTCTTTTGGACGTTTGGAAGATATCTTTTAGACTTTTGTGTCATCTGTATTTATTATTTTTGCGGTTTAAAAGAAAGTATTTAGAGTTTCTCAATCCTAAATTCAGTTGCAGTTCAGCTTCAACGCCATGTTAATTATTCTTATTATAATAAATATTGGAGTTAATTTTTGTGAGCGACATTTTTGATAACTAACAATTTTCGCAAGATTGCACATTCCGCATACCTGGAATCCATTCTTTCCTGCTGTGTAGGTCACGGTGCGCCTTTGTCCGGTTGGATCGACGTACGAGTACGATCCACGTCGATCACCGTTCACGTCGCTCTCCTCCTTGAACACTACTCCGTCTTCTTGGGAATATGCCGCTCCGAATGTGCCGTCACCCGCGAGATATCGCGTGTCGCTTAAAATCGCCGCTTTATGCGGCGATTGGTAATGAGCCTCTTGACAGCACGCACCAGCGATCATACATAATAGAACAACCTGCGGACAATAAACACGATTTAAATAAAGAAAAACCAAATGTCTACCGACGAATCGACACAATACACAATTATTCTTATTTTTAAGGTCGCAATTGTAAATATATATGTATATATTTTACTGTATATATTCAATCATAACTGTAAATTATCGTCTCTTTGTCTAATTATACTGTTGTATTTTAATCAAATGTTACAGGGCCGAATTATTTCAGTCGACTTAAGACTAAGCGTAAAAAAAATAGATATTTGAGAGGACTTACGAGTGCAGAGCGCATGATGAAGGAATAATGGATCCTTACACAGCGGGAAGCGCAGCAGTGCTCCAGGAACCAACGAGAGGGGCGTTTTATACAGCGGGTTGTGGTTCAGGGCAACCCGGCGAAGAGGCCTTGATGTTAACCCGCGCACGTCTCAGGCGTGTGGACCGCTTCGGTCTTCCACCACGCCCTACGTGCGATTCCTATAGAACCGATTCCTCATACTTTCCCCATAATAACTTGGGCTGACATTTCCTCCAAAGGTTCGCAAGGAATCTGAATTTCTTAATCAGATCGTGCAGATCGTGCAGAATGTTTCAGATTACTCCGACATGAATCTTAATTTGTCAGATATTTTTGACAAAAGCTGATTATAATATAAGTCGGATTTTTTATTATTTAATTTTTGTTTTCTTATCTTTTTATGCGATTGAAAGAAAGACAATTTTGGTTAAGGAAGAATTTTTCGATCAGTACAAAATTGTACCTATATTGTATCTATAAAGGTTTGCTGATTTGAAAAACAAAAGACATCTTTCGAATTAGCTTTTACAATTGTTGATAGGTAAGAAAAAATTGTCTTTATAAGCTCAATTATCTTACACAAAAACATTCGAGAAACATTCCTCTAAAAAATTAATCAAGGTATTTTATTAGAAGCACGGTTTCAAGAAACATTCTAGAATAAATTGTTGTCTATTACTATCAGAAGTATGCGAATTAAATATTGTATGTATTGAGTTTGATTTAACGAGTAGGTTTATTCTATATTTTTTTAATGCCTGCATTTTATTACTGCGCTATAATGCATGCGTTATGCATCGTCGCGCAGACCGATTACAACACGTAACATAATAGCTGCGCAATGACGTTTAACGATAACGATATTGTCGTTAAGAATTGCAGAATAAGCACAGAGAGTTGGGCGTTACGCGTAAATTATGATGTTTTATGTCTACGTGTAGGCAAACATGGACAATAAGTAATCTATAGATGTCATTTAAAGAACGTATGACTTGCCAAATGATTACTTAAGAAAGTCTACATTTTCATTTAGCCTTTGAAGTCCTGATATAAATTTATAAACGTTATTTCTCCTAAATCAATTACAGAGTTTATGATATTTCTTCGTTACATTCTTATTTACTCGGAGTTAAATCTACTAATCTATCGCATAATAAATTGAAAATTTATACAAAAGTATTTGCACAATTTGTGTTATCCTTTTTAAACGTCACATTTATAATTGATATCCGAAGCAGATACGGTAACTGTCTTACACAGTAAGAGAAGAAATATCTAAAAAGTAAGAAATATTTATTCTCTCAGTGGATAACATATTTACTTAAATTTAAATTATTTTATTTGCATAGAATAAACGATTACTCTTATAAAGAGCAACGAGTGTTTTAGTAAAATATATATTTTTTCATTTGAAAGAAATTTTTCCTCAATATAAAAATATATATATTAGTGCAAGTAAATATATGTTATTAGTAACCATTAAGTAAATCATTCTTATTTTTAAGGTATTTTTTCCGTCAGTGTATAATTTAATTACTCTTTTATATATTTTAATATTAACTTACAATATTCTACATAGTTTATAACGTTCACATAAAAAAAGACCGTATGTGCGTCATGTAGAAAATAGAAAACGTAAGACGTAGAAGTAGACGTCTTGAAATCTACGACATCATCCAGAACTTAATCCACAAGAGATGCTGCAGTAGATTATATACCGACGTTACTACAGGATGCGGTTACCGACTTGCAGCGGATTATCGGAGGATAGCGGCGAGATCGTGTTGAAGCTTCGAGCATTCTTCGGGGTTGGCGTCCGATGTGGGCGCACAATTAGGAGTAGTTATAAAGGAAGAAATACCTTTTATCTTCTCTCGAATGCACTACGACGCTAATTAGTTAAAAATTATTCTCCCCGTTCGTCGTAATAAATAGATCTTCGATTTCACTGGCGAGCCCGTGAAGTTACGACCGCGGTAACGAGTATTTTTATCGCATCGCACCAAATTGAAACTGACGGCGCGAGACACCAGGAAAATCAAGCCGAGCGTATTTTAATTGCCTTTAGAGCGCATATATTAATTGCCGCGTATACTTTGCCCAGTCGTCGCTTCCGATTTCCTCAATAACTTTAACTGTGGCGAAAGCGCAGATCTCTCGCTGCTCCCCCGACCTCAAAGCTGTCTGAGCACATTTTTACGCGTTTACGATTATTTCTGCACCTCTCGCAATCGCGCGGTCACGGTGCAACGTAAATATAGACGATTATAAAACTTCCCCGCGGCGTGCTAACGATGAAATATCCTGTTCCACTTTTATTTATCGATGATTCTGAACGCGTAATCTCACCGCGCATGCGGATATAGAATTGCTCATTCGCCGAACGAAAAATTGTGCTGATTTTTGTCAGTTCTTTTATCTATCTATCTCCCTCTTTCTCTCGCTGTCTCTCCCCGTCACGCGTGAACTCTTCGCTGATCCGTCTTATACGCACGACAAGTCACTTTCTACAGAAGCCTGAGAAACTTCGCAGAAATAAATCCTACCGAGCGAGATTAATCCATGTGTGATATTAGCGGGGCGTGGTGGAAACGCGTCGCGGTTGCCGGGAATATCGCGTATCGCGGGGATCGTACGCGACGTCCCAAGCGTGCAGAAGGAAGTACCATGTTTCTCGTGCGTGAAGTAATATCGTTTCCGGCGCGCTGCAATATCAGCGCCTCAGACACAAAGTGCATAGTCGTCCCCGTCGATCGCCAGGGATAATTGACTTTCTCCAGCCCGTTTCCTCCTGTCAAATCTATCTTTCTTTTTTCTTCCCCCCGTGGTCGGATAGTACCTTTCGAATCTTATCGCGACGGTGAGCTTTCCTCATCCGTTCGAGCGCGCGAATGGCCGACGCTCGTTCGGGTCCATGTGTCGCAACGCTCGTCGTTCGCAATTTCGAAAATTGCCGTCAATTTGGCGCCGGGAACGGAAAAAGAAAGGACGGCCGGTAGCCGGCGTTTTACGAGATTTTCATAGTTTCATTCGCGGCCTTTTCCCCGTGAATTCCCCGTTTCAGTCGCCGCTTAGTGGAGCCCTTTCCAATGTTATGCACCCGATAATCTATCAGCTAAATGGCTTCGCGGAAGGATCCTTTGGCAATCAAATATTCGAAGGTTTGAGCAAGAAGAATATTAGATTCTATACTCCGCTAATCTAACCTAAAACAATGTAATCTCATCTTTAGCGGAATCTTTTATATATTGCCTTAAGAAGAACTCTTTTAAAACCGAAGAGGAAATATTCTAAGCGCAATATTCTAAAAATTAGTGGAACTTTTCGTCCTTATACTGACAAAAAATACTTGGAAATTTATTTGTGGAATATAAAGTTTATTTCTGTGAAACAATCTTTACATTCCACAAATAAATGTCCAAATATTTTTTCCAAATATTTTTTCTCAGTGTACACTAAGAAAAGAAACTTGAAAATTTATTTGTGGCATATAACATTTATTTTTACAAATACATTTTACAATTTCAGAATTTATTTCACACACAAATACATTTTATTTCACAGAAATAAACTTTATCCTATCTTACAAATAAATTTCATGTTTCTCCTTAGTGTATGGTACAAGTCCTGTTCTTAATAGAAATTTCTCTTAGTGAAAAGGCATTCTGCTTGAAATAAACGTTTTCTTTTCTATTAAAGAGAAAAAAGTTGAACAATATGTAATTGATTTCCGATTAGTAGTCTATTTCATCGAAAGAAGAATACTCTTTCGGTAAATATTTTCACTTAAAATATAGGATATAAGGGAAACAGTGTCTTGCAACTAGAATTTTTTTAGTGTTAGAATATTTTCCTTTTGGTTTTAGGAAAGTTCCCTTGGGACTATACACGAGAGAATTCCGCTAAAAATAAATTATACCAGTTTGAGATGAAAAGTCACACGTGTCTTCAATCACACCTCGATATTAAGATTCACCTTGATAAAAGTCTCATAAAATAATCAGAATTCATTACTAATTTCATCTTAGTTAAATCTCAAATACGATGTAAAAACGAACACTTCACGCGCCCATGAACAGATAAAAGAATAACAGGATATCCTATTTGTAGAGAGTACTTTCAACGGCCACCGCTCAGCTGAACCGTTACGTCGGAAGATAAAATTCGTTATTCATACGAGTGGTTGTGTAGCATTCTCATCGCATTAAAAGTTCGCGAGCGTCACGCAGCCGAGCAATTATCTCGTCGTTCGAGAGAAGTTTTTCTTTCCGCGCGGCAGTAAAGTCGACGTAGTCCATTATCGCGCAAAATTTATAGATCTGAGCTATATGGATTTTTTTTCTTACCGCCGCTCTTCCACCCTTCAATTTTGCCCGATTTGGCGAACGTTGCCGGTCGCTAATGACGCAGATCGCTGGTGTTTAGTACGACGCCGATCGTTTACACGTCGTAAATTTAACTGTATGCAACGCGAATAACGCGGTTGCTTACAACACACCACTGCCGAGAAGAATTCTTTCAGTTGGCTCCAATGATTACTTTTCAGTGAGGGGTACACGTTGACTTGAGCTTTAGGAATTCCGTATTAGAAATTCGTATTCCGTGTTTCAGTTCCGGCTTGGTAGAATGTTATCCAACATATGACACTTAACATTAAAGGAATCGAGTCTAATCAATTATACAATTACACGCGATGTTTTATATAATTTTACAACCTCCGCGAATAAGGGAGAGGTGAAAAAAAGAGTTGAAAGCCTAAAGTAACAATGCGGAGAAGAAAAAGAGCACTTAGAAGTCGTATTCACTGCTTTACGTAATGAGATCTCTAGATCTGAGCCAGATTGGTTGTTTTTTAACCTTGTTTTATAATTAATTCTTTCTCATTGTTGCGCAATCACATCGATCATAATTTCGCACGATTGTATGGAGGGACTGAACAGAGGCTGGTTGTTCACAGAGCTGTGCGAAACAAGAGGCTCTTGTTTCATCTCCATTTTCACTCCATACAATCACACGTAATCCTATACTTCGGTTGATTGCAATGAGAATTATTACGAATGCTTGCCGGCGCGCCATGCACTTTCTTCTCGTTTCCACCTCGCCATCACTCCTCATTCGAGACAATTTAACCGCATACGAACCCTAACAACCCTGTTTAGCGCTCTGAATGCGGATTTAGCTAAAATATATCTCACTGATGTTTCTTGTTGCGTCAGCCCTAGCCTCGTTAAAATCCCTGGGATTGCATAGAGCTCAACGATTTCACCACACAGTTCTTGAAACTTAAAAAATCGCTTCGGGGAATATGATGCTGGATGCGTCAACTTGCTTAATCCCTTAGTTCTAGTTTCTAATTTTCTTCATAAAGAATGAATTTTCTTTTTTATTAAACAATAGTGCGCATTTTAGTTTAAAATTCATTTATTTTTAAAATACATTAGCATCTAAATTCACATATAAAAATCTTTAGAACTTTACATGTTTCTCTTTGTGCTTACTTGCACTGTCGGATTTTTCCTTAAGAAAGCAAATCATTTTTCTAAGTTAAAAAGTAACAATAATCGGAAATTCATTTAAAGAAAATTACTAAATAAATATGTTTAAATTTTATATATATAATTAAATATGTAATTTTATATAATATATTTACATTTAATTTTAAAAAATTACTTTTATTTTTTATGCAGAAATGGCGTCACAACGTCCATTGCTGTTCCGAGCTTGCAAGATTTTAATGTTTGTTTTAATTTTTTTTTATAAAAAAAGAATTTTAACAAGAAATTTTTGTTTTTTCTTTAAAGTGAACCAAAAGATTCAATTGTTTAAAAATAAAAATTCTGGTTTGAGAGACTATACTAACTATAATATTATTTTATAAGAAACTTCATCTTTTTTTTTGTAAACTATTACAAATATAAATCATACAATTTAAGGAGCAAGAACTGCAGGCTCGAAATGTCATTTCCGCACAAAAATAACTATAAAATTTCTTGTTTAAATGCAAATATTACTCAATCATATACATAAAACTCAAACTTAGTAATATTTAGTAATTTTCTTTAAATAAATTGCTTAATATATTGTCGCTTTTTTTATTTGAAAAAGTAATTTGCTCCCTTTCAAGTGGCACTTTTGAAATCAAAATTTTCTTTCTGTAAACTAGGCATTTTCGGGAAAATAATGTGAAATGAAAAACAACTAGTTCAAGAAGGTGCAGAAACGAAAAAATGGGGCCTGGCGAAATCAAAGTTAAAGAAAGCTCTCCTAGGCGATTACACGCCGTTTAATCGAGAGAAGGGTTAAAATACAAGGGATATTTTTTCTAAAATCGCCAAGTTCACGGGTAAGCCACTCCTGCGGGATCGTGCCTGAAAGCGATCTTGTTACAGAGTTACGTCAGAAAAACGAGAGAGATAGAGAAAGAGACGTTCTCTTAACTAGAGTGATACCGTGTCCTCGGGAGGAGGGCTTTTGCCGAGTTCGCTCGTTTACCCGAGGCGGAATTGCTCTAGAAGTAGGTAGCCACCGGCCGCATACCCGCGCCGCCAATTACGCCGGGGCGACTACGACTATATAGAAGAGCCACGCTGACTCCGCCGGCTGATTTCTGCGAGTAGACTCGACGCGACCATCCGCGCACATCTCACCGCACGCAGCCATGAGACTATCAGTGAGTGCTCGATATATCCCAATCGAATTTTCTCGATTAAACGGCCTCGTGTCGCGTTTCATTAAAATAGTGATGGGAAATATTTTTCTCCAGCCTCCGACAAAATTGTACCCTCGTGAGCTTCTCTCGCAAGCTGTGCTCGTCAAGGGTGGATTGTGTAGTTTGTTCCGAGTTTAAATACTTCGCCGACGATATTATCTCAGTCTACGATTAGCTTTGAATAAGTCTCGGTGAAAAGTTGATACAATTTCGGCGATTGTCGCGAACGACTCCTTAACCTTGCGCTTTAGCAAAGCTGAAGGGCTGATTTCTTTGTTAATAATTTCTTCAGCGTTCTATTTAATTTTAATAGCGCTGTACGAATATTTTTCAATTTTCTTTAATTTAACATCGACTGCACCATCATGCGATATGACTATTGATGGAAGAAGGGGCGGAGGGAGAATGACATTGGTATAATCAACTGGAGATTACGATTCGCTTGCAGATTCTCCTTATCACGGTGGTGTCGACCGCGTGGGCACAGACGAAAAACGCGGAGAGGCCTGTCCGCGCTCCTCAGGGACAAATCAAGTACGACGATATTGACGGTGAGTGTGAAACAATCTGTCTCTCGTGGGAAACGCGCTTCGGAAACCTTGGCTCCGTAGTGTCGCAATTAACTATTACCGCTATTACGGTCGCGACGCATGCGATAGTCACGATTTTCACATCCCCCTGCGGAGCAATTCCTTTGTGATAGTCGACAAAGGACAGCGTTACGTAAACGCTGTTAATCGACGGGCAAGCGTTAATCGGGTTAGTCAGACAGTGACAGGGCGTTTTCCTCTTGGCGTTACAGGCTCGAGGATCAACCTGAAGTATATCGCGCCTCAGAGCCAGTGGCGATCGCACTTAGCAAATACAGCACGACTTCAGCGCGCCGAGGGTGGCTCGCCCCAGCGCTCTCGGCAGGCCCAGCGAGCTCCGCAGCACGCTGCCGCGGCGCAGCAGGCCCAGCCCCAGCAATTGCAGCCGATCCCGCAGGCGATCCAGAACCAGCAATTCTACAAGCCGTACTCGGCGGTGCCGAGTCACATCAAGCAACTGATCCAGCAGAACTATCAGCCGCAAGTGCCCTACGTCGATCCCACGTCTTTCCTGTACAGCTCCAGCTTCGTGGTACCCCAGCAACACGAACAGCAACCAACATCAGCCGCTTCCGAGCTACCCCGTGCCGCCTACCTGCAACCCGCGGCGAGATACCAGTCGATCGATCCGCGAGTGCAGTCCAGATTCGAATACAGCGACAGGAGGGTGGAACGTCAAGACGGAGTCATCTACAAGGACGATTACGAGCAGCAGCAGCAGCAGCAGCAGCAGCAACAGCAACAGCAACAGCAGCAGCAGCAGTATCAGCAGGTACCAGTGGGAACCATACCGGAACCTCCGCTGCCTACGATATACCTTGACAGGAACATGCCCTCGGAGCTGAGACAGTTGCTGCAGTATCAGGCGCAGATACCGTACGACGTGACGGCGAATCGCATCCAGTACACGCCCAAGAATCTTTTCATCCCGAAGCCGTTGTCCGACGATGCTAAGGGGCAGTATTACTATCGCAGCAAGGTATACTACACGGACGACGAGAACGCCAACGCGGAGTATCCGCAGGAAAAGCCGGTCGACGACAGACAGCACCATTGACGGATATGACTGTGTAATGCGCGGTTTATGTAGATTAATGATCTTATCTCCCCCGGTAAGCTTCTAGAAGAGAGACGGCTGGGCTCACCTCTGAGACTCGCTCGAGCTGAGCGCTGTTTTCGCGCTGAGCGGAAGTCGCTCTCAGCTCTCAAGCGTCATCGCAGCGGCGCTGGGACAAGCGTCTTATGCGCCTTAAATTATTACAGCGCTTGTTAACGTACTTTAGTGATGTACACTTTTGTATTAGCGTGTACTTGGTTTTGTTTACTTAATTATGAACGCGTTACTAATTAAGGGAGTGCGGCAGGTCGGTGGGAACGTTTGGTCGGGAGAGAACTGATCGAACGGTAAATTTCGATCGAAAAAAATTTAAGCGACGATTTCCAGGAGAACATTTTAATATCAATAGAAGACCTCTCGCAAAAGAGAGAGAAAAAGAAAGAGAAAGCTCTGGAGGAAATGAAAGAGTAAGAAAGAATATCAAATGTCTAATAATATTTTTCCTCTTTTGTTCTGAAAGATTCCGAAACTTTCCTTTGTGCAAAAAAGAGTTTAGGTAAAGAGTTAGTAGACAACATTTTCACCAAGGAGGGAGAGAGAGAGAGAGAGAGAGAGAGAGAGAGAGAGGGAGAGAGAGAGAGAG